CCCCCCCCCCCCCCCCCTAGTCATTGGCACCGATAGGCAATTAGCACAGCCGACCTCTTTGAAAACCTACTCAACAATCCGACCCATCGTGTCCCTGCGCTCTGAAACCGGCCTCGACCCCGAATCCTCATCGGTGCTCAGATCCGCCTCGTCATCTTCGTCCGTGCTATCGTCCGCGCCATGCGCCAAATCCCGCCCAACACTCGTGCTAGACATGTAATTTGGCAGACGTCTTCGCTCGAAATCCTGCGCGTGGGCTGAGGCCATGATAGTGCCGACCCGGCTGATACCAACCGAGGGACGGCGGTTGCGGGCGCGCATGCTGGACATGGATGGGGTGCCGTGCTCGACATCGCCGGGAGACATGAAGGGTGTTGAGGCGTGCTGCTGTTCTTGAAGTTGGACGTCTTCTGCTGAGCCGTCGAGTGGAGGTGCGGGTGGTGAGGGGACGTCGTAGGGGAGAGGGACATCACGGGAAGCACGGAAGAGGAGGACATTTGTGCAGTGCTCGTTTTCGACGCGGAAGATGGACCAGACGCCACGACGGCAGACTTCTGAAAAGGCGACCATGAAGCTGAGCAGGGCGGACTGCTGTATATTTCTGATAAATACTGCGTAGAGGATCCAGTTGAAACGGATGACCACGTCTAGTAGCATTGCGGCGTAGTATACCCATACGCGACGGAAGGCGAGGACTTCACGGAGCATTGGGTTCTTTGCGTATGGATTACCCAAACTCCAGTCCATGATTAGGTCCCATACTGAAGCGTAAACGGCGTTAAGGAGGGCGAAGGTGATGAACGCGGCTTGGAACCGTGTTTTGAGGTCTATGCGGTACATGCTGAGAGTGGCATAGTAGAGGACGCCAAATATATACTTTCCCAAATTCAGGAGATGGGGGAATGCGTTCTTCGTGTCCAGGTATCGGCGAATACATTGGAAGGCTCGCCAGACAGAGGGAAGACATTGGAAGAAGCCCAAGAGTCGAGAGTGGGAGGAGTTGCACTTGGGAGGGTAGTCCCAGTACGAGGCATATAGACAAAAGAAGAGCTCGATGTTCCCCATAGCATATGTCTGAGAACAGTACATATCGCCGAGGAAGAAATCACGAAACTCGACTGGATATATTCCGGCAAGCAAAAGACGCCACTAGATCGGTTAGATGCGCTAATTGACAGTGGTATGATGTTTTATGAACTCACATTGGAAAAAGCGAACCACTTGCGGCTCCTGTGGTAAAGAACACGGGCCGGCAAGAAAACAATGATGATCGTCAAGACAATCAGGACCACAGGCCAATAGATATACATGTGGTTGTACCATGAGAAGTTGAGCCACATGAATAGGCCCATCAAGAAAAGGAAGAAAGAAGGGATCTATAGTTGTTAGGATGAATAATCAAAGCTAGTAACGCGAGATAGAACATACCTCCAGCAACTGACGCCACTCCAAGGTGTGTCTGCTATCGTATTCGAAGACGAAAGCATGATTGATCTTCGACTTTGTCCAGATCATACAATCCAAGCAGAAGAGCAAGACATGGAACACGATGAGGAAATATCCGCCGTATATCTGCTCGATTGGTTAATGAGGCTACAGAATAGATGAAAAAGCGAAAATCTTACCTGGAGCAGATAACTGGTCCGAACTTGTTCAGCGGCCTCACCCGAGCGGAGGTTTGACGAAGCATCGACTAGGGCCTTGATGGAAAACAGAGTTCCACCCATCAACAAGAGACCGGAGCGGAAAGTATTCGGGGAGTAATCGCCAGATTTGTTGATTGTATGGCGAAGTTTGGAGACGGCGATTTTGCGATTACCACGCTCAAAGTAACGGGAATACAAGTCTTCGACCGCTACCATCAAGCTTTCAATCACTTCACTCTGGACAAATGAAGCTTTGTTGACCTTTTCGGACATGTACCGGAGCGGTGGGCGGGCGTTGACCGCTTTGTCGTATTTCTTATTGATCTTCCGGAAGGCCGTTCGGTTCAAATAAGCATATCCCTTGAGAAGTTCCACCCCGCGGTAGAACTCCTGCAACGCATGCTTCAGCTTCCGCTTAGCGGAGCGATAGGGCACTTCTTGACTTTGTGGATCCTGCCGCCGCATAAAGTCTCTCCGGTTGGCAATGAACTCTCGGTCTTGGGGTTGCATGCCAGGAGTCGCCATCTGGGCCAGTGCTTCCGTGTTCTTGCCAAAACGATTCTTTCCCGCCAATGTATCCTTGATCCGCGCACTCTTGATTTTTGCGAATCCATTTGGCCGTTGCTGTGTATCCGAGTCGTCAGATTTAATGGCTTTCTTAACAGCTAGCACCTCTTGGATGCGCTGGTCTCGCATTATATGTAACTGCTGGCGAAGCACCCGCAGTTTTTCGGTGGCCTCCTGTTCTTTCATCACATAAAACGCATCGATCTTGTTCAACTCGCTATCCAAGAACTCGAAGAACTCGTCCTGCCGTTTATCAAGCTCGGCGCCAGCGCCAATATCAAACTGTGATCGCCTCCCGCCAGGCTCGCCCTCTGCCGTGAATACGCGCCGCAGAAGCTGTGATGTCCGGTTGCCCGATGGCACCTTTGCCAACGTGTCGCCAATCTGACTTTGATAACTCGCACGTTGGTCCAATTGGGGCCTCTGGGCCGGCAACGGCTCTGAGATAGGGTGAGAGGGTGAAACGTTCGTCAGGCTGCGGCGATCCATGACGGGCGAAGGTGTCCGAAGGTTCCTGGGTTTGTCTGCAGTGTCGTCGTGCGGCATATAGTCCTCATCTGGGTCAAGTGCTGGGTCCGGAAGTTCAAAGGAGGCCACGTCCGAGCCTGCGGTATGGTGTTGCTGTGGCGGCGTTGCAATTATACTTCCATAACTACCAACATTTTCGGAGAACCGCGATCCGGGCGTGCGAAGCGGTTGTCGCTCAGTTCTGGGTACCGGCGTGGATCGTGCGGTTGATGGCGGGTTGGCACCACCTCGCTGTGGCGTCGATGGGCTATTGTACTCTCCTGCATCGAGCTGTTTATCGGTATTGGAGGGTGTGAGAGCAGATTGGGCTGCGCCGCGACCTTGCGGGGTGGAGGTGGGATATCGATTGGATTGGACATGGGGACTGCGGTTTGCCTTCTGGAGGGCCCGAGTGATGGCTTTGACTTTCTTTTTGCCGGTCTAAAGAGTACGCCCAGGTAAGTACGGTTGTAATACATCAAATCTGGTGACAGCGACCAACCTTGTAGTCGAGATACTTTGCCCGCCACTCAGGAACAAGTTCCTGTTCCAGCTCTCTGTGGATTGAGTCAGCCACTGGAATGTCGCACACTGTCACGGGGATCACAAACTTGGCAAATTTCATCCTGACCAACTAACCACCGTCATTGCATACGGTTTAAGACCTGGGAGTGCCTGCTCTGATCCAAACATCAAATCTCACACAAGTGAGAGGGGTCGAAAGCTTGTGCGAAAGTAAACCAAAGCCTAAAGCCGCCACTCCTGAGAAGAGATAGGGGAGGACGAATGGTATCGGAAAGAAAAACCTCGAAGGAAACAAAATAGAAATTCCAATCCGATATACTAAGACTCGAGAATCTCCCCAGAAAATCTGCAACCGCGCAAACTCTGTAGCTGAACCTATACTTTTGGCACGTGTATGAGCTCATCAACTTTTGGCGCCTAGATTGTCAGGCTACAAGTCCACTATTGGTCAGCCTTGTATTCTGATTGGCTAGGACTGGACCCTCAGACCCACAAGGCCAGATTCCTGAAGATTGGGGAATCCAAGACTTGCGAATATCCTCACTTCTTTCATACTCCAGGCCTTCTCCACTATTCAATGTTGCAGTGGTCTATCAATTCCTATCGAGAACAAAAACAAAATATCCAAGACGGACCTCAATTCATTGGCGATTGACCCAACGACTGGTCTCCTATCTAAGCACGACAGCATTGGAATGTAGTCGGAATGCGGTCGGCGGGTTCTCATGGTGATGACTGGCTCAAATAAAGCCCCGGCATCCCTTTGAAAGCTTGGCGCATATTTACCGTCGGACCGAGTGTCTTTAAGACGTAGGTAGACGTACGTCGCCCTACGTATGTCTATCGGAACTATGTTGTATGCCATGCAAGCTCGTGCATCATACATACAAACGACCTCGGGATGTGGATTTCGATATCTATCTTGGATTACATTGGACGCCTTACTTCACCGCTCTTTCCAGGTACGAGGTTGAGACGTTCAAATTTTTTGATAGCTCACATCTCTCGCTCTCACTACATACGACCGCAGGGTGTTCATAAAACAAGTATCATCATTCATCCATTGCTATCGTGGAGACGAGTGGCTTAGTAGTTGCCACGCTCGTAACGCTCCTCGTACATGTGCTCGGCGTTCTTCTTGGCGTGGTGCTTGGCCTTCTCACGGTCAAACCAGTCCATACCCTTGCTCTCGGCGAGCTTGTCGACCTCGCCGCCGACGATGCCAGCGAGGAGCTCCTTGGCGAAGGCGTGGCTGACGGGCTTGCCTATGTGTACAAATTCAAGTCAGAAATATTTTCCTAGGGAGATTATATTGGGAATGAAATGCTGTGTTTCACGTACCCTCCTTGCGCTGGTGGTCCTCGTAGGCCTTCATGCCGGCAAAGGAAGCGGCACCGGCAGCGAACTCGTGAGAGAACTTGCCCTCGTGGTGCTGCTCACCGTTGTACACCTCCTGGTGCGCTCTCTCGGATTCGTCTAGCTTAGCGTTAGCATGGTTTTCGTTTGATGGCCAATGGAGGGGTGTTGGGATATCGCCGGCTATGCAGGTCGGGTCGGGCCCTAGTGCATGCAAGCAGCAAGGTCTAGATGCCTCTCAAAGGGAAGTTGAACTTACCCCAGCCCCAAGCCATTGTGAATATGTATAGATGAAAGGAGGGATGTGAGAAAAGGGTTGTATAGTGATGGAAGAAAAGAAGAGTACAACGTAGTGGGGGAATGAGGGGATCTTATACCCATGCAAGAGGAGGAATAATCTAGAAGGGCTACGTAGTCTACGTTGTACTAAGATTCGGAAGTAGCTTTCTCCCCTCTGTTTCAGCTCGAGTTGCCCCACCATCCGATCTACGAGAATAGTGGCTGAGCTGCTTCCTACAACATATGTACGGAGTACGTCGTACGTTATAGATATGTCAGAGGATGGAGCCACGACACCCCCTCGAGCACACGAATCAGACACACCTCTAGAAGTATTGACCTGTGGCTAGTGAAAGTAGCAGATGTTGACATTGTAGTTGTTCTGGTCGGGTATTTCGGGCGATGGGGAGGCAACTTCATTGGGAGCTGTGGATTCATTGGCCACACCGCGTTGCTAGTCTACGACTTCATTGGAGGACCACCAGTGCCGGATGACTTTCAACCATGATCCCCGCGAGGAGTTGTTTTAGCTTTTACCAAATCACAGCTGAGCCACCTTTTGGTCCCCAGGACCGATGTTTGGTTGAGGGGTTGCCCTGAGAGATATTCTACATGCATGTCCAACCGTCCAACTCAACAACGCACGTCTAGCATCGCATTACACTATGTATTTTGTACTACGCATCTTGATTTCCGCGGTGTATTTTCTAACACCTTAAACATACAGTACGATGTTCTACTATCGCTCTTGGCGTTACAAGTACGTGTCCCACCGACGTCCAATAGCGCGCCGATCTGAAAGGACCTAAATGGACCCGAATGGGTCCCCTCAGCCCTACTCCGCTATGAATGGACAAATAAGAAGATGACACAGATGATACTAGCTCCATTGTCTGTCAATTATACGGTACGCATTACGTTGTTAGAAACTGATCACCCTGGTTTTGCCGAGCCAAGCCTGTCCTCCGAGGCTTGTCGTCGCCTTATAAGTCTCGGCAACACTAGCCACGAGAAAAGTGGCGTGAACAGTGGAATGTCGGGTATAACACCTCCAATTACCTCCTCTTGAGTAGTGACTTTGTATGGGATATATTAAGGATTGCGCTATGTGTATTGATAAATGGAGTCAAATCTGTCCGATAGAATACGAGTGGGCTCACCGGGCACCTTAAACTCATTACGTACTAGACCATTAGACCTCAAGCCACACTTGGACTAAATTAGCACAACTTTGATCGATTGCAGATCTGCCTACGGAGTAAATATGCATATGCATAATTGTCATGATGTCAGTCGGCACATGATTGCCTAGATGAATCCCGGGATATGTGCATGTTGTACGGAGTAGAGATATACAATTTATGAGGGACAACCACTGTTTACTCCGTACTACGGGTATTGACTTAGCTCTTTAGATGCAACACAATGTGTCAGATCCTTACACTACTCCGTACCCAAGTAGAACATGACGCATAATGCGAAGGCAATAGCCAAGGTCTCTTTCTCCTCATCAAACGATTGAACATCTCAATATCAGTGTTGATCAACACCAGGCAATCACAATACCATTACCACACACCGTCTGAAGGTCAATTTGTCTCCAAATTAATGTGAGACCCTTGCTCCGTAAATGCATCCTTGAGCATCATAGTGTCCTTGGCATTGTACATTGTACGGAGTACTCCGCGCCGTGTCCCGGCAATGACCACCTTCCAGGGCTGAGCTCTACGCCACATCTACCGACACAGCCACACTGCACGCCATTCTCCGAATTCCAAGCTCCAAGCTCCGCAAGCTCCAATCAAAGCCACTTCAATTCAACTCAACTTGACTCACCTCAATTCGAAATGCCCACCAAAACCCCCACCCCCTCCGACTTCCCGTCCGAACTCACCGTCACTGTCACACCCGCACCACCCTCCCCCTCCCAATCCGCATCCCCAGCCCCAAACATCCTTCTCCTACTCCACGGCCTCGGCGACACAGCCGCGTCATTCACAAAATTCGCCGAAGCCATCCGCCTCCCCGAAACCACCATCGTCACAGTCCAAGGCACAGCCCCACTCCCATTTGACCTGGGCGGCTTCCACTGGGGCGATGATGTCTCATTCGACTCCGCGACCGGCGCACTAGATATGGACGCCGGCCTGACGCGCAGCACGAGAATTCTCATGTCAGACGTTGTGCGCGGCACGCTCGTGCAGAAATGCGGGTACGCGCTGCGCGAGATTATGGTGCTGGGTTTCGGGCAGGGCGGGATGGCTGCGCTGGCTATTGCGCGGGAGATCGGGTTGAAGGGAAATGGTAATGTCGGTAGTGGTGAGGTCGGTGCTCTCTCTGGAGTTATCTCTATCGGAGCCCCGTATCCTTTGTCGGGATCTAGGGTTGGGGATAAGAATCGGTCGCCGGTGTTGCTGGTTGCTGGGAGGGATTCGGTGGCGGTTTCGGATGAGGCGGTGCGTAGGACGAAGCAGGTCTTTGAGTTCGTTGAGGTGAGCAGGTATGCTAGGAAGGGGGATGGGATGCCGTCGAGCCGCGAGGAGATGTTGCCTGTTATGCAGTTCTTTGCGCGCAGGTTGCGGAGTAGACAGGGTGTTCCTGAGGGGAGTGTGGAGATTAGTTGAACACAAAAACAGCATTACATGTATAAAATTGAATGTCAGTTAACGATTTGGATTTGCTGTCTTGGGTATCGTATCTGGGGGTGAGACATGGGGTGTGAGACATGGGGCGTAGGTGAGCTAGAGCACGCAATTGGCATGTCCTGGTACCTGGAAAATGAGTTTTCGATGACCTCGATTGTAGTGAATAGACATATCAATTTTTAATTATAAATGTCGACATTCCGTAAGATATATTTTGTAGGCAAACTAGTGGCATATTCGACCTGTCAAAGAGGGGTTATACCGCCAATCGCCAACGCACAATTGGTCGCGATCTCGCATTCGTCAATTTCGATCACATCCAAGTCATCTGATCGCAATACGCTTTAGTATAGGTTCATTGCCCAAGCTATGATACCATATCTTGCAAGAAATTATCTCCTGGGGAAGCTCTAATACAAAAAAACCACCCACAAAAAGGTAACCATCACATCACATTCCGCGAAACTACATGCATGTGAACCAAGACTGACCGCATAGAACATGGCCTACAACCTCTCAATAGAAGTCTTTGGACCCGGCGATAGCCCCACACACCGATCCCACTGGGGGTTCATGATCAACAAGCCCGGGAACCTGGAATTCGGCGATCTCCTCCAAGTCGAGGTCATCGATTCGGACAGGTTATGGTACGGATTTGCGCCTCGTTACGCCACGAAGATCATCGACAAGGCGGCTGTCGGGATGTGCAAGATTGCCGATCTGACCTCTCAGCAACGACACGACGCGATCAAGATTATTGAGAAGGAGCCTGCCCCTAAAAATTCAATTGGACTGTGCCAGAATTGGATCTTTGATGCTTTGCTGGCTTTGGAGATCGAAGAGCTTGTGCCTTCTGGTACTTCTGCGTTCTGGAAAGGCATGATTGGTAGACCAGCACGAGAAGTTGCGGCAGGTTGCGGGACGCAGTGGACTGCCTTTGCTTAACACATACGTTATGTGTTATGTGTTCATGTGTTTATGACATAGATGAGAGCCTCGGATTGAAATGGTTGGAATGTCGGTGAAGAGAAGATGGTGGTATTTGTAACAAATCGTCTCGCAAATCTAATAACACTTTATATAGAACTCCTAGGTGTGTACCTAAATAGTATGCTTTATCCATCTCGTTTCTGAAGCTCAATTAAGGCTGATGGCAAATACTTAAGGAAATTCTTCTTTCTCAAGCTCCGATGTCGGGGTAGAATTTATTGATAAACAGGCGGGACGTCTAGAAAATAGCCCGCATCAAGTTCTGAAATGCATACAAAGCTGAGAGGAGTAGGCACCCCATAGGGAGAAACCAGTCAACCTGTCTTTTGAAGTATACATGTAGGATGTATTGGAGTTCGCCGTCTAACGACAAATATCATTTTAGGACATCAGGCGAGAAAAGATTGGATCAATTGACCTCAGACTATCTTGTACACTATAGACCCGAATGAATTCAACAGCACGTATCGACAAGTTCAGCATATTTCGTAAATTCTTCATCTGCCTGGAACATCTCCAACTCCTCTGGATGTGTGTCGAAAGCAAATTCAATGCCCCCGTCTTCCCTGATAGGGAAAATGGCGAGGAATCGGAATCGTCCATTTCCACGCTCAAGCTGTGGCCTTAAAGACTCAGGCAACCCTCGATTACCGAAGAAGGCATCTCCAAAACAAATCTCGTTGATTGGGAATAGCATCATGTTGGAAATCATAGCATGCATATGTTCCAGACCCATATTCGCCGTCGAAAATCGACCATGGTCTGGCAATGACTGCAGAATCGACAATGCGTCGTGGACGACTGAAGGTGTGATGCGTGCGGCGGACTGACGGAGCAGATAAGCGACGCGGCCAATGGTCGTCTGATCGGAGCATAGTGTCTCGATCGGCATGGTCAGTCGATTGAGAATGAGTATACTGCCCATATATGTCGAAGGCAATAGTGAAGAGAAGTATGGACGGCCATCCGTGGGCAATTCAAGAATGGACACCTCGTCTGGACTGAACTTCTGCTTACGGATCTCTTTGGCTATCCTGTATCGCACCCTGATAGCAGCTCGCCATAGGAAGGCTTGTACGATGTCACTGATTGATTTGATGACCCCCTTCGCTTCAGGATCGGAGATGACATCTTGCTTCATCTTCCCAAGCTTTTCGGGCCTAATCAGGAACAGCGTCGTTTTAGGGGACCGTTCAGCCCGGGGAAGTGGCCAAACATCATGCAACTTGAAATCAGGCGCGGGAGGTAATACATGGTCCTTAAGATCAACAGGAGTCTCCTTCATGCTTTTGTAGTCGTTAGGTGGGAAGAAGGGCAAGAAGCCCCATATGCCAGGATCAATCTCTTCGACAGGTCGAGCCCATCCTTCTTGCTCGTGAATGATCTCCGGTAAGGCATGGTTAAAGCTTTCGGGGTCATACCAGCTGCAAGTTGCCGTGTGATCACCTTGGAGATATCTGCAGTTCTCCGCCCAGGCCTTAAGAACGACCATGGCTCCAATACCATCGAGGCAGCAGTGGTTTAAGTCAACTGCAACCAGGCAGCCACCAGGAACGAAGTTCACTTGACCAGAGAAAATGTCTGCGGGGAATTTAGGGAAGGGATCGTCTCTCAGAACGAGGCCGTCCTTGAACGCAGATAGTGGGAAGCCCGCTTCCCGTAATTTCTCAAAGGATGGAAGAACATTTGAGAGATCCTTGTACAATAGGCGGTCTCTTGCAGAAGCTGCCATGGACAGTGGTGGAATTGTCACGCAGAGATCTCCTTTGTTGTAGCCGATTTCTTGCTCGGAGCAGTGCATCATCTTGCCACTAAGAGCTGGTATCATATCGAATGTGCGATTGAGTCCTTCTTGGAGATTGGTAAACACTTGCTCAAAAGATATCTCGTCGTGGATAGAGAAGTAAAGGAGAATTCCCATGCCGTGATTGGGGTTAACGTAGTCGAAGGCATTTAAGCGGAAAGATTGTCGCCCCCTGTGCTGAGTGATCATATCATTCACCTTAGAGGCATTGCCGTCCCGGATTTGACCCATAGGAATATCATCTTGAGCACCCTGTGCTTCATCCATCAACCCGGAGACCGTTGCGGCAAGGCTCGCGATGGTTGGATCGGCGTAAACGTGTCGAGTGGAGATTTTATCACCCAAACCTGAAGCTTCTCGTATTTTTTCCACGGCGGCAAATACACCCAGAGAGTCAAGCCCAAGTTCAAAAAAATCTGTGTCGAGAAGGACTTCCTGGACCTCGGGAAGTAAAGAGCCGACGATCGTGCGGATGAACTCTTCGATCGAACTGGGAGAGCTCAGATCCAGACTGGTAGCGTTATCGGAATCATCACTTCGTGAACTATAGAAACACTCTATGTACTCGGAATATAACGCCAATGTGGCTGATCTTTTCACTGTTCCCTTGTCAGTTCGTAAGAAGGGCTTGTCTGGTTGTGCGAAAGTGACGAAGTCCCTCCGTAACTGGTTCTTGTGTCTAGACATGGTATTGGCCGTCTGGACCGTTTGCCAAATACTGTCAATAAGATCAGGCGCTTGATTCGATGGATCCTTCAGCTCAATGAGTAGGGACGCTTGAGGCTTTCCAGTTCCAAAAATAAGGCATCCACTAATGGCAGGGTGAGTGGTGACAAATGCTTCCGTCTCAAGCGGCGATATCTTGTACCCATTCGACAAGACGACAAGGTCATCGTTTCTTCCCTTGAAAGCCCACAGATTGGGCTTGGTAGGGTGCTTCATGTACAGGTCCTTGAAGTTGATCGAGTCTTTGTCTGGAAACGTGTGGAAGATACCCTGGAAGAGAGGCCACTGCTCATTGCGATGCACCCAGTGCTCGTAGGTATCCGCTTCAAGCTCTTTAAATTCGAAGCCAGAGTATGGGTGGAAGCAGAACCAGAACCAGTCTTCTCGCTCTGTCTTCAGATTTCCAATGAAAAGACCTTCTGTTGTACCGGTCAAGTTGAGCACCCTGATTACCTCATTCACCTTGCCAGCACTGACAGGACTAACAGGGCCTCCAGATGCACATATGAATTTGCTCGACTGGAGCTTTGTCAAAACTTCGGGGGTTTCTCCTATTTCATCGACAAGAGATGGGACCATACTCCATATGTCAATCTTAGCGTCCACAGCTAATTTTTCCACAAGATCAAGATTTGGCAAAACACCAACTGGTCCCATGATGCAGTGGAGATTGAAAAGTGCAGGCATCAAAATATTCATGATAATTCCAGCACCCTTTTGGTATTTAAGTCAGCCAAGGATCTTCCATGAGCGATTGGGCAAAAGGAGAAATTTACGTACGTGGCTCATTGGAAATGATGAGTATATCCTGTCCCCCTCATCCCAGCCTGAAGTCCAAGGTGGTAAATCGGCATTTTCACCCACAGGCGGGAGCAGTCGTACTGCATCCATAGTGCCAATCAGCCCGTGGGACCAGGGAATAGGTTTGGGTACCCCAGTGCTTCCAGACGTATGCAAGAAGCAGAACGGATCATCTTTGGCCTCTTCAAAACTCTTGGTGTACGGGAAGGCTTCAATAGTCTCGGCATCAAGAAGCTCGTGGAGCATGGGAAGCTGCAAAGACGTCATAGGTCTGTTCTGAAGAACGTATTTGACCAAAGGTAGCGGGGAAGCGTCGGCTGCATTGACCCAGATATTGCAGTTTGTTACCTCAAGTACTGCGAGAGCTCCGTCTGTGTTGTTTTTGGGCGACAAGAACAAAGCCTAACAGGAATATGAAAGTCAGAGGTGTTGATCTTAAATCGTAGTCTTTATCAGGAACATACCGCGTAGCCCGCCTTGACGCATGCATATGTCAACAGCACATGTCGTAGATCATCTAAACCAACCAGTCAATTCAGTAGTTAAGATCCAAAGCGACTTCGGGATTGTATGAACGTACGTGGTCCAATATAAGCCACAGGTTGAACTGAGTCGGGGGTACCAGCCTGATCACGAAGCCACCAGGCAGTCTTGTCAACTGCCCTGGTAAACTGTCGAGCGGAGATATGCTTGAGCTCGAGAAGCCCGTTTGAGAGTGATGCAAGGGAGAAGATAGTGCGCTCAGGCTCGATGGCAGCAAGACTATCTATTATTTGAGGGATGAGTCTTCTACCGTATGGCGTTGACACTGTGGTTTTCCCCTCTTGCTGTATTGATGTAAGGTCAGACTTCTCATTCAACGTGGTACACAGTCCAGATTCTGCAGGCGAGCATTTTAGCACTGATTCTACATCTGGTGTGGTGGATCTGCTGGCTGGTGATTTGCCCTCAGATGGAGAGAGGGAAACTTCGCTAGAGGAGGATGAAAGCGGCGATTTATTCTTCAATGCACCATTGACATAAGCATTGACATCAATGGACTTGGCCGACTGAAGATAGCTCGCCGTTGTCTCGTTAATAGCTATATGGTCGATACGGTGCAGCCTTTCTTGGTAGTGACTGGGAATTCCATCAACATGGACAAGTTCCAGGCGGCTGTCTTGGCTGAACTCGCCCATAGGCGCACTAACCCACACTCCATCTGCTAGGTGAGCAACACAGCAGTGCCATGGGGTAGTGAAGCCCGTCTTTGTATTTAGCAAACTGATGGGTAGCTTGGTACCGCAAATGGATTCGTGGATAGAAAGTCGCAGGTGGTTGGGGTAGGCGTCCTTGATTGCCCCTGCAAACGCCTATCACTCGATGTCAGCAAAACAAGGTTCATAGTAGCCGAGTGTATCTATGGGGCTTATTCTCTACTTACGTATCCTCTTGTGAGCATTTGCTTGGCCAAGTACTTGCAATCTCGTTTGTAACTGTGGACCGATCGGTTCTTCCCTCGAGGAAAAATGTGCTGAAGATCAGACTCCAGGAATCGCCTATATCCCAGATATGTCAACTTGACATCTGGATTTGTGTTAATTTCATGGTCAATATCAAGGTCATCCTTGCCGTATTTGTTCAAAAGCAATCGACGGAAGGTGGTACAGTTTGCCACATATATGATCTCGCTCATCTTTTCCGGTAGAGGGAACTCGAGAAGGTCTCGAATCCTCGAGAATGAAATGTTGTCGAAACTGTTCTTGGCAACCATCTCGCGTAAGGCTTCGCCATACTTCCAGGTTTCCTGGTCAGAGATACACAACAAGTCTGCAATTCGGGGATCACAAAAAGCGTTAGTGACCATTCAAATCGGGTTGTATCATGGTGGAATCGCCCACATACCATTGTACGTAATGCCATCCGAGATAATGACAATATTAGCACCCGGGGCGTAGATATCCTGAATACGCTTGCACAGGGTATTCAATCGTTCAAGAGCGAGCTCCTCTGCCTTGTCGGGCAAGCTGCCGAGCACCTTGTACACTTTGTTCGCCGACTTGAAGGGGAAAGCAGGCAGACAAGCCTCCACACGTGCACCTTTGGAGACAAACTGGCCAATGACAGAAAGAAAGCTGTCTCCGTAGTCCTCCGGGCGGTCTTCAGAATAATTGAACTTATTCAGAGCATACGCCAGAAATAAGTTCAAGATGGACCGCGAGATCTCTTTGACATGACTAGCAGACTGCATGGAGGTGGCAAAAGAGCTATTATCAGATTCAACAGTTGTAGAGATTGGCCTCTGAATGGATTCAGGAGAATGAGGGTCCAGCGAAGCCATGTTGATCTTGATATAGCAATGTCACCCCGGGACTATATCTGGCCGGTAGGTCGCCGAAAAAGTCACCAAATTTGGTGAAGTGCGCCAGAAACGTATGAGTGAACTGAAGTAAGGAGAAATGAGAGCAACAAACATATCCCTGGTAGATGGAAGGTAATATCATTTATTGTGATTCGAATACGATAGAAGGATTCGGACTTCCCGAACCCCAGGCCCAAAGTCCAACCCTCAGTGGGCTGTAGGCCTAACCTTCAAAGCCCAACTCAGCCCATAACCCATTTGTAGGGGGCCGCTGCAAGGCCCCCCATAATGGGGGTCTTGGCGCTTACAACCCCGCGTCTTGTAATCACTGTATTCTGACCTTCTGCTAATAATATAGAGTTAAATATAGAATTTAGAGTTGCAAAAGCTATGAAAGTATACATTTCAATTTTGAATAAAATCTGACCGGTAGAGGTCGAGATACCGCGAAAAAGGTAGGCATTAATATTTTGGTACTAGATATCTACTTACGGAGTGCTACTATTTTCTAAATGAACCTCATAATTTATAAATTATTTCAACACCGCGTTTTCTTGCTTTTTTGAATGTGATATATAAATCTCATTGATAAATGATTTCGAATCGATTAAAAGAATAAAACATTACCTCGAGATAAGGGCTGAAAACGGGGTCTATAGGGTAATACAACAGGTCACATTGTTCGCAATGTTCGTATTGTTTGAGGCTCATTGGACCCTTACCCCGGTCCTAAAACTCAGCCCATTCCAAGGTTGGTGGGTTGGGGCGAGCTAGGGGGGTAGGCCGGGGGG